TATATATATCGCTTGAACTGCAACGTCGGTGGTTCAAGCTCACCAGCTGCTCCTTGGAAACCCTATACAGAGTCGCTATGGGTCAGAATTGACTTGACGGCACTGAACAACAACAAATTTATATATGATGGATTATGTTGATTGTTCTACTGGTATTGCATCCCTGGTATGAATCCCACTTGGTCATGATGTATTCTTTTTTTTGATAGGTTGTTGAATTCTATTGGCTAAGATTTCATTGAGAATTTTTGCATCTATGTTCATAATGGGTATTGGTCTGTAATCTTCTCTATTAGTGATATCTTTGTCTGGTTCTGGAATGAGGATTACTCTTGCTTCATGAAATGTATTCAGGAGTTTCCCATCCTTTTCTATATTCTGGAATAGTTTGAGTAACATTGGTATCAGGTCTTCTCTGAATGTTTGGTAAATTTCACCAGGAAAGCCATTTGGGTGTGGACTTTTTTTTGGTTGGGAGTTTTTTAATGACCTGATCAATTTCTTCTTTTGTCATAGGTCTGTTCAAGTTTTCTACTTCACTTGGTGTTAATTAAGGTAGGTCGTGCTTTCCTAAAACTTTATCCATTTCTTCTGGATTTTCAAATGTGTTGTAGTATAACCATAGTATTCTGTTTTTATTCTTTTAACTTCCATTGGTCCTGTTGTGACATCACTCATATTGTTCCTTATGTGTGATATAACATGCAATGATTCCTTATGTTAGATTTGCCAATGATTTGCCAGTTTTATTAATCCTTTCAAAGAACCAATTTGTCTTGCTTATTCTTTTTATTGTTTTTCTGTTTTCTAACTCATTGATTTCTCCTCTAATCTTTATATTTCTTTTGTTCTGGTGACTGTAGGCTTATTTTGCTGGTCTTTTTCTAATTGATGGGGAAGCTGTGTTAAAGTGTTGATTTTGGTTCTTCTTTTTGAATGTCTGCATTTATTACTATAAATTATATCTAAGCACTGCTGGACATATGTATATCTTACTGTTGTTGTTGTTATGTGCCGT